CAAATAGATATTTATTTTTCTTTTACAATAATCTATTAATATTATTCGATAAGTTTTTTTTATCGTCGAGACAAAAATCTTGTGATGAGTTTGCTTATTTATTTTTCTTATTACTTGTCATTGAATTCCTTCTTTATATTTATGATTATCCTTACATGTATTCCACAATCAATATCAATCTTAAATTAATTCAATAGATAATTATCATTTCGATTTGATAATTCTGAAAATGTATCCATAACCTACATAAATATAAAATCAAATTCTGACAAAGAATTTTGTATTGAAATATCTCAACAAGGCTATCAAATCATTGTTTATCATTTTTTGATGATATAGTATAATCAATCATCAACAATTTTCTATGAATCGTTACAAATACTTTTAACTAATATATGAAAATTATATGTTGATAGTTTTATTGACAGTTTACAATAAAAAAACTTGCGAAACAAAAATTAATTATGAAAAAATCAAAATGATGATGATAAACAGAATTAGTAATAGAAAACAACTAGAATTCCTTATTTTTGTGCTCATTTATTTTTTTACATTCAACAGATTGGGAAAAAATTGCATAGATTATTTCTAGATTTTATTCATATTTTGTCAAATAATAATATTTTTTCTAGATGGATCATCGAATTATTTCTCCAATGGAAATGTATTCTGTTGCTCGACATTATTTAAATTTTTATAAAACTATTATTTTCTATCTTCGATTTCAAACATTATCATTTTCTCTTGACGAATGGAAATCGCGTATTATGAAAGCTTTACGTTTAACAATAGAAGCACAACCACGATTACGTTTGCAAGTTGATCTTTCAAGAAAGCAACCGTTTTTTATTATTTTACCAATGAATGTATTCGATACGTTACCAATTCAAATTATTCAAAGAAATAATTACGATATTGATGATGAACAAGAAGAACTTCTAGATAAAATTATAGAAGATGAAAGTAATACGGGCTTTATTTTTGATCAACATTCTCCATTATGGCGTGTGACACTTGTTGTTTCATCGAATAGTCAAACATTTGATTTTATAATTACAATGAGTCATGCAATAGGTGATGGCATGTCAGGAATGGGTTTCTTTACAAATTTGATTGAATGTTTATCAGAAAAATCAACTTTAACTTTTTCACTTAATGATGATCGACCTTTACATGAATTAATTCCATCAAAATTACCTCCTTTTTTTTCACTTATCTTAAAAATAATTGAAAAATTTTTTGTACCTAATATTCTTAGTCAATATTTATTTCCAAAAACATATTGGACCGGTAACATTCAAAAAAATGATAATGATAAATATCAAACACGTTTATTATCATTTAAATTATCAAATACAATACTTGATTCATTGCATAAAAAATGTCAATATGAAAAAACAACTATACATACCGCAATATTATCTTCACTTCTTTTATCTATTACAGAAATAATTGGCAGAAAAAATATGGAATTTTCATGTAGTACAGCTGTTAATCTTCGTCAATACTGTCAACCAAAACTTTTAAATCAACAAATGGGTATTTATATTTCAAGTGTAGATAGTTATCATTATATTCCATATGTTGAAAATTTAATAAATTTATTTTGGCCATTAGCTCGTCAAATAAAAGAACAAATAAATTATGAAATCGAACATGCAGCAATGCCATTAGTTCAATCATTAAAATTTATTTCGAATTGGAATGCATTTTTAATCGAACAAAAAAAGACGTTACCAAATGGATATCAACATAGTGTTGATATATCAAATATACTTCGCTGGTCATTTCAAAATAATGATCCATCATGGAAAATACTTCATGGTGGTTTTACACAATCAGCAAATGTTGTTGGAAGTGTATTTACTGCTAGTGTAGTTACTGTTAATGGAATTTTAAAAGTTTATATTTCTTTTTATGAATGTAGTATTGAAAATGTTGAAAAAGTCAAAATTATGATAGATAGAATGCAACAACTTTTACTTGATGCTATTTCTTTAGAATAAAAAAAAATGTTGTAACTGTTGAAGATTTTTTATTCACACTAAAGAATTAATACTGTATTTTTGAAATCTATATTTTTATGTATTCGGCTGAAATGATAGAATGTAGAAATTAAACTTGTTTAGTAAGTATGATACAATTGAGAACTTAGTTATTATTATTGCCAATGTCAGAAGAGATTACTGACAGAAAGTTAAAAAATGGAGTTTTAGGGCCCTAGCTCCTACTTATTGTCAGATGAACTTGTCCCAAAATAGCAACATTCGATGCAGAATTTGATTCTACACCCGGAACAGTTAATGAGAGGATCGTAATAGGCATAGTTGCCAATGTCACCAGGAATGACTGGCATCATCGCCTCAAAACCATCGTTTTGGAACCATAATCCCTCCTTCTTTTGTCCGGTGACTTCTTTCGAAAATCACAGTATTCTGTGCAGAATTTCACTTTGCATTTAGCACAACCTATTTGAAAGCTAACACAGACGTAGGAACGCCTATTAGCAAGAAAAGATTGAATTCGCTGCTAACTTTCCTTATGTTATACAATTAATGAAAACGTCGTCGATCCTTCTCCTTTGCCGTGAAAAAAATCCATTCGCAGAAATATTTCACAAACCTGATCACTCTCCAAAAGGAGATGCTCAGTAGTCAACTAATTTCGGCCAATCCAAACAAGGGAAGACGCTTTTTCGCACGAAAGCTTTGACCGTCAAAAACACAGATTGTACCCATCAGTAGAGCTCGTCGACTTCTATTCGAAGCCACAATAGCAAAGATGCAAAGGTTTCCTGGGTGAATCTGGAGTGAACTTATTTTTGAGGGTAGTTACTCCTCATAGAGAAAAAGTCGAAAAAAATCATTTTTAGGACGAGCGGTTCGAGTTATAAAAACTTCGATCACGCCAATCGATAGAGCTCGCCGAGTTGTACTTGGAACAAGCATAGCACATTTGGAATAAGTTTCTGGGTGAATCCCAGTGGGAAAAACTCGAATCTGGTGATAACTTTACCTACATACGAAAAATTCTGCTTTGTAGAGACTCGAAGGTAAAACGAAGCCCAACAGTTGAGGTGAGTAAGAGAAAAAGTAAGCGAATAAAGGACTATGGCGTTGCCATGATTGTTTTAACTCTGAACAAGCAAAGCTGAATGCCAAAATAGATTGAGGTAGAGCATTGAAGAATATAATCAGTGGCGTAATAAACGATTCTCGATTTGTCTGATGAAGATGGTTCGATAGTTGTCTCGTTCGGGGGTGCGTGCACGAGAACGATTTGTGATTGCAATAAGAATCGTTATTGATACTAACTGAATTAAACACGGAAGAAGATAATGAGTCAGAACAGAAAATTTATTGTGTGTGAACCAACCTTCCGAAGTGTAATTTGTGACACATAATGTAGCCGAATTGGATTTTGAATCTTCAATAACGATATAGAATACAAACTCATGTATATGCATGGTGGCTAATGTCAGGCCAGTTAATCCTGAAAAGACCAAAACGAAACGTGTCTTATTCCAAAACAGATTTGTCGGATATAAACGAGACGTTGAATGGTGATCCAACTGGTTAGCTATTAGTTCATTCTTGTGAATACTGACAACGAATAAGAGATCATTTAACACAGAATGAGATTGGAAAGATTATTTGCTAACAAACTAGTTGAACTGATAATAATGTGAACAATTTTGATCAATAAGATCATTAGAGAAAATTGACTTACGACAGTATTGATCAATAGATGATAACCCACCGAATATTCGCGAGGTTTTCATCGTTCGAATGTAATCAAACTGAACAATTCGTGACCAATCCGAATACAAACATGAGAATTATCAGAGTTAGATAAAGACCGATCGATCTTGATTTGTTTTTTTCATTGAGTAAATCTTTGATAATCAATGAATCCAATGTGAAGCTCATCAATTCCATACTGTATTGACATACTTGACCATAAAGGCAATGTGGACATAGACATGTAAAATCATTGCTAACTTGTAAGCCGTCTCGAATACAAAGACGATTGGATAGACAGTGCGAACATGAATCCAAATACGGATTGAATTGAAAACAATCGGTTCACTTTTCATTATTAGGGTGTGAGTGTGGATGAGGTCTCCAATGATATCTACATCCCCACACCCACACCCACACCCACAGGCACACCCACCCATACCCACACCCACACCCTATATCATATGAATCATGAGATATGCGTTCACGAATCAGCTATTTTTTCCAATGAAGAAGAGCCTCCGTTCTTTAAAACATAATTATCTAATCGCTTGATATTTTATCCAATCAAAACACATGCCCACGACAGTTAAAGTATGACCAACAATTATGCACTTCAAAAAGGTGTAATAACAGTACTTAGGCATGTGCACTTATACA